CAGAAGAAACAATGCCAGCAAGAGCAAGGAATAGCATGTTTTATGACAGGAAACAGTGGGACCAAAATGTTGGTTAGACTTTATGTACACAGGGTTTTGCTGGATGCCTTTAGATAGAGGAATCACTTAAGCATGTTTGTATCCACTTAGGCAATTCTAAACAGTTGTAGAGCAGATTGGAGGGCTTAGAGATGGATGCAAGGAGACTAATTAGGAGGCTAGTGCAAAAACCTATGTGAGAGATGGCGAGAACCGAGACTAAGATGCAGACTTTGCAAAGAAGTAAGGAGAGAGAAAACAAAAGAACTGAGTAGCACTGTATTCTAAAGAAATGTCCAAACTTTACATGTGCATAATGCATTTGTATTTGTATTTTATTTTTGTTTTAAATTGTAGACATGGGATATAGAACTGGAAAGATCTGCAGCATCCTGGGCTGAAAGTTGTTTGTGGGAACATGGACCTGCAAGCTTGCTTCCATCAATTGGACAGAATTTGGGAGCACATTGGGGAAGGTAGCTTAAAATGTAACATTTTGTTTCTGAAAACATTAGTGTTTGAGATGAAATACTTACTAATGCCTCATTGTAAATTTTCAAAGGCTTAGTGCCTAAAAGAAAAACAAGCAGTCACACCAAGACAAATAATGATAAAAAGTCATACTACAATGATTGATAGTATTTTAAACTTATTTTTGTTTTAAATTATTGATATATTAGTGATGTAATGTGCAGAAGTATTTAATATTAAAACTTACATAAAAATACCTCTCTACCAAACTTTATCAATCTTTTTTTGCAATATTTGATTTTATATTTTCTCCAACTTTACTTGCTCTTTGTGGTTATTTTCTTTCAAATAGATATAGGCCCCCAACATTTCATGTACAAGCATGGTATGATGAAGTAAGAGACTTTAGCTTCCCATACGAACACGAATGCAACCCTTATTGTCCCTTCAGATGTTCCGGTCCTGTATGTACTCATTATACACAGGTATGTTTTGGGTACATTATACTTCATTCCTTTAAGTTGAGTTCATGTAAACTAACAAAGTTTTCTTTTTTTTGTGCGGGAACTTAGGATACTAAACATTTGTCTTAGGTCATTTGGTGTGGTTATTAAAAACAAAACTTACATAAGTATTGATTTATTTAGAATAGGCTTACGAATTTTTATGAACAATAAAAATAATTATCAGAAAAAAAGTCCAGACTTTTCTTTAAAAATATGTTACTTCAATGATTTTACATATAAAACATTTTTAATATGGCCCCCATAAATGCAAATGGGGAGAGATTTACCATCTTTGAGGTCAGGTGTCTTTATTTTTTTTTACTTTCCAAAGAATAAAGAATAGTTTTATTTACCATGGCATTCAGCATTTACATGTGTGCAGAATTTGTCTTTCTTTTTTATATTCAATGTTCACATTTAGTATTGGGAATGTTTTAAACTTCTAAATCAGACAACTAAGGGCAGATTTGACCTGATAAAGCTCACCACAGATCTGAGTGTCTGGAATTTCTATGACTGATTATTAGTGATGAGAAAGCAGACAAATGGCTCTGCGTGCCTTTGCATGGGACAAGATCAAGATCAGCAGTGACAGTGAAAATGTCGCATTGTCTAAGAAATTTGAACACCTAAACTTTTACTCTGGTTCTTTCTATTTTAAGATGAGAAATTCTGTTCCTTTGTTAGGTAAGTTTCTGCATAGAAGAATTCATACAGCATTTCGGTTTGTGAGGATGTAACATTTGAATTACTGAGTCATACATAAGATGTTTATGTTTTCTATCTGGATACAGTTGTTTACCTATAGATCTCTCTTTTTTTTTTTTAATTTAAATTAAATACTTTCCAAAGTGTCAGGAAAAATATCCTTTTTGTTGTTGCTTCATTTCATTTTGAATGATACATGTTGTTTCTTGAGTCCGCTTTTATACATCTTTCTCTTGGACATGTTGTTGTCTTGCTTTGTCTCAGCCTACTTTTCTGAGCATTTCTTTTCTCTAATGTAGGTGGTGTGGGCGACAAGTAGCCGAATAGGCTGTGCCATTAACTTGTGCCAAAACATGAACATCTGGGGGCAGATCTGGCCCAAAGCTATCTACTTAGTGTGCAATTATTCCCCAAAGTAAGTAGACAAAGTACTGCTTCCATATGCAAATATTTCTTAACGACATAAAAATAACTGTATATTCTTGATTTTGTTTTTCTCATTTTCCGTGTAGATTATCAAGTAAAGTCCATTGTTCTAACTCAGTTTACTTCATATGGCAACAGTTACAGTTGCCTCATGCATAAAATCAATGCTTAAAAGGAATATGGAAATTGAAAATACAATCTTTGTAAAGACAGGAATCATATTTTTAAGCTTTCAGTTTTACTTATTGCACTATTATATTGTGTAAATATTCAATAATTTGGATTTATTAGAGATGAAAAACTGTAGACTGAGAATTGTATTTTCACCTGTGTAAAGACCATTCAAGTAATTAATTGAAAATATTACACAACTGAACGTAGGGTTAAATGTAAGTCTGAAATCTGTTTTTATTAAAACAAATGGAATGTAGATGAATATCCCAAAGCAGAAAATTTGTGCTTTGCAAAAATTTGGTTTTGTAGTTTTAAACAATATTCATAGTATATTATTTAGAATATTTTTGAAAGAATGATGTAGCAATCTATGTTTAAACTTAATAACAATGAGATATCACCCTTAACCTGTTAGAATGCCTATCATCAACACCAATTTACATTCCCACCAACAAAGTAGGAGAATTGCCTTTTCTCCGCATCCTCGCCAACATTTTTTATCTGTGTTCTTTTTGATGATAGCCATTTTAACAGGTTAAGGGTGACATCTCAATGTTACTAAGTTTAAAAATAGATTGCTACATCATTCTTCCAAAAATATTCTAAATGTGGAAAACAATATGGGGCATAAAACTGAAACTGAAAGTAGGCTACCTCTTACTAGAGTGGATTATCTTTTTAAGGGGAAACTGGTGGGGCCACGCCCCCTACAAACATGGCCGGCCCTGCTCTGCTTGCCCGCCTAGTTTTGGAGGAGGCTGCAGAGAAAATCTGTGCTACAAAGGTATGTGCTATTGTGTTGTAATACTCAGTTTGATTTATATTTTAATCCAAATTCTGCATTAATTTGAGTTTAAAAAGACAAAAGCACATTTAATTATTACATGAAAAGTCCTCGAACTTGTATTTCAAATATTTTGAAGCCATTTAAAATATTTTTGAAGTATTTATAATATTAAGTCTGTTATACCAATGTGATTTTGAAGGAAAGTTTCATGATGTTAAGATATTAAGATATATTCCAGATAACCACTTAATTCTACTTGGAAATTATCTCAGAGTGACAAGTATATTACTATTTTTGAAAGCCATCTTGATTTAGTGTTGACCAGAATTATTTCTGTAAGTGTCATCATTTTTGAAGAATTTAGAAATTTAACACAATTTATTTTTAGCACTTTGAAGGTTTTTGCCTAAGTACCTATCCATAAATCTTGCTGAATCATGCCCAGTGAGTTATACTAATTCTCTGCTTCTTACTGCAGAGCACGCAATTTCTCATGCCAAAACAACAAGAAAAGTATAGCAGTATTACAAACTGCTGGAAAAAGTGTTGTTCTCAAATGTGTTTAATGTCCTCAAAAGTAAATATAAATATGGTTTTCTGTTTATAGCACATGAAGCTAAAATTTACCCGACAAAGCTTTGTGAGAGTCACCCTCTTACTGGCCATTCAAATGAACATTTTTACTCCCTTGTACTATTTTTTTCTTAATAATGACTAAATGAGGATTAATGCAGACTAAGTGTAGTAGAAAATATGAGTAAATGCAGCCACTTTTCAGTACTTGTAAAGAGATGTCTCTTTTTTTCTCTTAATGATTAAATGGTCATTAACTATAATAAGTAGCCAAGAGGTAACCGTATATTTCACTGTTACATGAGCCATTTTTAATTTCTGAAAACATTTTTCATCGTGTGTGAGTCTGTTTTCCATTCATTCTACCCCCAAACCTCCAACCTGCTTGCTCTGTCATCAGTGACCACAGAATTTTACTAATGCTAACTTTCCTCTGAATTCATACTTCCTTTTTCTGGATTCTGAGTTCTTGGACATACATGAAAATCATTTTCAAAATATGCCAGCTATGCCCTGTCAAGCCCTTGATATAAGCCAACCTGGAAAAACTATTACATTCAAGGTTTGCTTATTTTCCATTGTTATGTTTAAATTTCTGCACATTGAATTTCCTTCTACAAAGAAACCTTTCTGTGGAACCTGATAGTGTGGTAAATAAGAACGGCATGCCAATCTGAATTTCCTTTCACGAGAATTTTAAACGTGATCCTTTTGAAAATTTTAAATGTGATCCTCCTGAAAATATGGTTTCATTTGAGAAGAAAATTCGAAGTCACTAAGCCTCGACTTTACTAGGTCACTGTGTAGACTTCCTGGTGTTATGGTGAAAGCCAATGATTGATATAACTTTAAAATATAAGCAAAATTTAGAAATGACTCCATTTAACATTAGCTAAATGAGAGCACAAATTAATCAAGGGCTCAAAGTTTGATGTGCATGGTTTATTTACTCCAATACAGTATGTAAGGGCACCACCTTAAGCCAAAACCTGTGCCAATACACAGTACTGCTTTTTCAAATGTTTAACAGGTGTATAAATGTTTTTAATGTTAAACAGGCATATAAAGATATATCATTATTTATAATTTGTGCGCATTTAGAATGGATTCGTGTTTCTTAAATCTGTTCTCTGTAACAGAAGGATCAGACAGCTACTACCCTCGTCGAGAAGAAGAGACAAATGAGATTGAACGGCAGCAGCCCCACGTCCACGACACCCACATCCAGACAAGAGCAGATGACAGTAACAGAAACGAAGTCATAAGCACACAGCAAATGTGTAAGATCTCTGCATTGCTTACAAACATGTTACCGTTTTAATACCTGGCAGGGGAGATGCCATGATCACAAAGGTGGTTTTCCCAGGGTGAGGCTTAGCCATTGCACTTCGGGTGTCCTGACCCCTGTGATCTTCCCAAATGTGGGAAACTCGACTGCATAACTTGTGGTAATGGGGGACTGCTTTCACACCTTCCCTTAAAAAATTTTTATTAAAGTTTACACTGATGGCTTATTCAGCTGCATTTTTAGAATAGCAAAAACTTGGCATTAGACTGTATGGGATGAATTAGGGCAGCTGTTACATCATCTAAATTATTATTATTATTTTTAAAATTGTAGCTCAAATTGTTTCTTGTGAAGTAAGATTAAGAGATCAGTGCAAAGGAACAACCTGCAATAGGTAATGTTTATTATTACTCTTAAAATTAACTGACAAAATTTAAAAAATATTTTCATTTTATACTGACATTCAGAGAAGCTAAATTTTGTCCCCCATTTCCTTTGTTTAGATATGAATGCCCTGCTGGCTGTTTGGATAGCAAAGCTAAAGTTATTGGCAGTGTACATTATGAAATGGTAAGTATTATAAATGTAATTATTTGGGGATAGATTCCTTTCACATAATGTTTGATTTTTAATTTGAAATATAATGATTTTTATAAGTATAGATATTTTGCTCTGAAGTGTTTGTTTAAAGTCATATCAAGAGTAACTAGTTGTGTTCTGTGCAGAGCTATTATTATTTTAACATCGTTTTCTCCCTTCCTTTTCTCCCAGCAATCCAGCATCTGTAGAGCTGCAATTCATTATGGTATAATAGACAATGACGGTGGTTGGGTGGATATCACTAGACAAGGAAGAAAACATTATTTCATCAAATCCAATAGAAATGGTATTCAGACAATTGGGTAAGTACCCAAATAACCTTTTGGATCAGAGATTTTAAGTTGTAACAATGAGTTATTTTTTTTAGAGCAACACATAGAATAATTTAATTTGTAAAAGAGAGAAGGTAACTTTTTGAAGCTCATTTCAACTATATCCATTTCATGGATAAAAAGAAGGAAGAATATCTGAATTCAAGTTGAACCCTTTTGCTGATAAAGATCATGCTAAAACTCCAAATTTTCTAGTTTCATTACAAATGTCCACATTTATAGTTTTTCGTTTTGTGAAGAAATACATTTTTCAGCTGTGACAGAAAATGCCCGAGAAGGCTAATTAATTTGCGACTTCTTCCTGCCCTGTTTTGGGAGAATTATTTTTTTCATGCAACAATAGCTTTGTTAATAAGATAAATTAGATTACTAGGGAAGAAAGCAGTTTGAAAAGTCTCTAAATATGTAATATAGTATGCCAGCTTTCTTCTGTCCATTGAAATGTAATTTGACCCAACATAAAAGCATTGATTAACTTTTGAAATGTTTTTCATATTGGACATACTAAATGTATTACTCTAAAACAACATATTTTCATATGTACTCTGTGGAAAGTAGAAACATGTAGGCTTTTGAAATATCTTTGTAGTTTCTCTTTCCTAATGTAAAAAAATAACTTTATTGAACCTCATACGGAATGCCTTTTCTTAGGAAATATGACATAGTCTTCCTTCACTTGTAACTGTACAATTGCGTGAAACTCCACATAGGATTCATAACATTAAGAAATAATGTATTAAAAATCCTTTAAAATTGGTGGAATGACATCCTATGCATACAGTTTGTTCAAAGGCTTGATATGTGGTTTTCAGCCATTAGCAATTACTCTCTTACATAAAAGCTTTATAGAAACACCTAATTTATTAACTTATTCAGCAAATCTTTATTAATCACCTTCAATAAATAATAAATATTAGTTATTAGCTTTAGGAAGCCAAACACTGGGTGTTTCATTAAAGACCTTTTATCCTATTGTTTAATTTTTTCTCTTACCTTGTTTTTTTATTGTTTACTGTAGAAACTCTCTTGAAACTTGCAGGGCATGTCATATTAAAGTACCATCACAAATAAGCCTCACCTTTTGCAATACATATTTCTCTGGAAATCTGGGTATAGATAAGCCAATTAAATGTTTCATATATAATGATATATTATTTGTATATACCTGCTTTTTAATAATACACATAAGGAAGAGGAATTCATTCATTTGTTGTAGACATTTTATACAGTGGGGAAGCAAAAAGCAAATAATGCACATTCCTTTAAGGTATTTCTTATTTAGTAGCTTTTTACTCTGCCTTTTATTGATTATTTTGTGATATTAAATTGTTTGATTCTGTGGTGAGAGGAAATAAATATACTGACAGTTTTAATTTTGATAGAAAACTAACATATGGATTCAAATGTGTATTATTTTATGCTGTTATCTACAAGTTTTTGAGACTGATAATGAAAAGAGATCATTCTCTAATATCAAGAATGGTATTGACTTGGTTCATACTTGAAGACGATATGAGTTTAGCATAAAATAAATGATGGATTCTTAAACTACTACATGACTAGGTATTTAAATAAGAATATTTAAGAAGAAATCAAATATTTATAGATGTGAAAAATAGGAGAGTTTATGTTGATGATCATGCACGGAAGAAAATGATTGACATTTTTATTTTTTTATCTTCAGCAAATATCAGTCTGCTAATTCCTTCACAGTCTCTAAAGTAACAGGTCAGCACTTTCTTCATCTGATTTTTTTTTTTTTTAACCATTCTGTTGCATGTTCTTGTTTCCAAAGGATTGGCTAATTGCTTTGTGTTTGAATTCTCCAGTCCAGGCTGTCACTTGTGAAACCACTGTGGAACAGCTCTGTCCATTTCATAAGCCTGCTTCCCATTGCCCCAGGTACCATTTTCTAAATTTCCTCATTCCTTTGCAACCAGTGAACAGTGGGGCTTTCAGCCAGGATAAATGCTTTTGCCCGAAGTCCTGGTGCGTCCAGGACTCAGAGGGTGTATGGTCTTGAACTGCTAAGCAGCGGGGAGCAGTGGGGCCACACGGACAGACTACGTGCACTCCAGGCACTGTCTCCAAAAAAAGTGGGTTCTTTGTTTTTGTCTATACAAAAAGCTTTAACATTTAAAAGAAAGAATCACGTGTTCATTGCTTCATTCTGACAGCTCTCCCAGGCGTGGCCACTCAGTAAGCTCCACACATCAGGCCCTTGCCAGGTCCTTGCAGGGCTGTTTAGCTGATCACGTCAGGGCCAGGCGGCCCCTCTCCCCAGGGTGAGGCTCCGAGTGCATCATTCACAGGATGCCTTCCCCAAAACAGGGTGTGAGATGTGCACACCTGAGCCTTGCCTCCAGATTATGAAACCAGTCAATTTAGCACAATACTTGTCCGCACCTTTCACTTCAGAGTGTCATTTTTATTGAAGTGGAACTTTCTGGAATGGGGAAACCCGAAAAACTACCTGCTTAGTTAAAGAAAAAAAATTTTTTTTTCTATTGTATTCTAGACTGCAGGCAGGCAATCAACAATAGAATAAATTTCAGTAGCAAGTACCCTGTGCTGCGCCATAATAGAGTTTGTGCGTGTGGTCTGTGTGTGCACACGTGCTGCAGTGTGCTGTCTGAGCCAGCTTGGGCTACTACAACAAAACATCCCAGACTGGGTGGTGTAAAGGACAGAAATTTATCTTCTTATAGTTCTGGAGGCTGGAAGCCTAAGATCGAGTTATTGTCAGGTTTAGCTTCTTCTGAAGACTTCTTGAAGCCACTGTCCTTGCAGGTGGCTGGCTTTTCTCTGTGCCTTCACATGGCTGGGGCGGGAGAAAGCATTTTCTCTCTCTCTCCAGATAAAGGCCCCACCCTTATGACTTCTTTTAATCACCTCCATGAAGGCTCTATCCCCAAATTCAGTCACATTGGGGATTGGTATTTCAGCATATGAATTTAGGGGACACAAGCATTTGGTCTGTAACAAGATTTCACTACAGAAACTAAAATGGAATGGCTTGTATTTTTAAGCAGTGTCATCCTAGTTGCTAAATTAGGTAAGTCTAATTGTGGCAAGTCAAAAGTTTATCTTCTGCCTTTCTTTTATTTTTGTTTTGTACTCTTTCATTTAAAATATTATAATGGAATTTGTCTACTATAAAATAATGGGGAAAAAGGCTTCCTGTATCTTGAGCAAGATAATGTGAAAGCAGTTAGAAGCACTATGGCCATAAGCCATAACCATATAAGAGAAATGAAGTATGTCCCTGCTCATCCAGCCTCACTTCCTTCCACATTACCTCCATCAATGCCAAGAAAGCCCATTTTAATTCCAAAACTAGTAACGAGATTTAGAAACTTGATTATAATTGATAAAGTATAGTTTAGTAAAAATTGAGGAAGCTCACTTTTTATGAAAAAGTTTACTTACTTTGGAGAAGTTTCCTCATTTACCCTTTTAAAATTAAAGCAATGTTTCATTTAAATTATGAGAATTAGTTGTTCGCAAAGGGATAAAATACTGTGATGTTGATCTAAGACTTAAATACTTCAATTTTCCATTGGTGGGAAGTTTCTCAGTTACAGATACTGCAGTGATATAAGCAATCAGTTCCTTTAGGTAACAATAGTTAACCTGTTTCCTTCTAAAAAACCAAATCTGTTTGTCTCTACTCTCTTGTGAGAATACTGTTGTAATATTTCTGGTCAGCTAACTTGGTACCTACTGCTTTGAGAAGTTTTAAATTCTTCAGCATGTATTTTTATTGGAATCAGCAGTTTATACAACGTGTAGGATAATCTGAGGCTCACCTACACAGTTTGAAAAATATATTTTTACCATCTGATCATGGATAAATTAAATGCCAAATAGTTTTATTATAAAAGTACACTCTCCTCTAACTAGAGATTTACAAATTATGCTCTCATAAGGATAACAAATTTAATTAAAATTGTGGTGTGTTTTATAATCTCAGGAAATTAAAAAAAATTTTTTCCCCACATTTCTCAAATGCCTATACTTACAGCTTGTATTTTTATAAAAAGAATAAGGTATATTGCTAGGTGAAACTGGTAAATTTTGCCATTGTGATATGGTGGAAAAAAAGCAAGCATTTTAGAATTATCCGTTTGTAAATATTTATTACATGCTTATTATATACCATTATTATGCTAGGCCCTATTTCAGCCATGTGTCAAGGTTTATGATATTCAAATAGTAAGGATAATTTCTGTAGAGCATTCAGCATAAAGCCTTCCTCTA